AATCCTGCAAACCGCTGATACTGAAGAGTCTCTCTCATCCCAGTATTACCCGTCTGGGTTTCCCTACACCCCAGTGGACATATGCTAATGAAATAATGCATGTGTCACCAAGCATTAGCTCGCACAGGAATAAAATCAGAGCGACAAAAGCTATCTTCAGACTAATGAGGGAGATCTCCATATCTGCTGACCTTACTACACATGAGCCAAATTAAATTTTAGCTCAATTACATTACTCTTCTGTTGAAATATTACAATATTGTATTTTCAAAGATTAAAAAGACTTTAAAGAGTACTTACCTTTGGTTTTCTGTTCAGTAACCTGTAAATGAAAGCAAGCAATGCATTATCAGCAAAAGCCATGATATATTTCACTGCACTTGTTCAGTGTAGTAGTTTACATGTTATTTGCATAGTATAATGAATATTCATACTATATTTCTGTGGCAGGCTGCCCTGACATTTTACTGCTAATAAATTATGTATTCCAATTGTGTATTTCACTTATGCCTAGTCTACATTTTCTTCATTATCAAAAATATATAAATACATGTGTATTAAATAAATGTGTGTATTAAATGTGTATATTAATAAAAGCATACACAAATATCAGCATAGTATCACCACAGTTATGAATGACTAGAAGGATGCACAAAAAAAGGATACATTATTTGAAACCACCTCATTAGTGTCATGTTAAGAAATATGGACATGATCACTACGCAAATATAGAGTGTGTTCCTGAGTGTTTTTTTGCTACCATACTACTAACAGCCTGCAATTATCTCTATTAACGTACTGTTAAAGGGGTCATAGGATGCACATTTTCCATAAGTTGATATGATTCTTTAGGGTCTTAATGAAAAGTCTGTAACATAGTTTGGTTAAAATTTCTCAATGGTAGTGTAAAAAACACCTTTTTTACCCTGTCAAAAACAGCTCTTTTCAGAACAAGCCGTTTTTGTAGCATTTTCCTTTAAATGTTAATGAGCTCTTCTCGCCACGCCCCTCTCTTCCGAGCTGCTCTCAGAGAGACTGTTTACTTTAGCCGCATTCATCGTGAAACTTGCTAATTAGCACATTATTAGGAAAGGCGATTTGCAAAGATTCATTACAAAACATTAGTCTCTTCTTCTGTAGATGAGGCTGGATCATGAATGATTCGCGCGAACATAGACGCATTTAGGTAGATCGGGGAGCATTCCCTTCAGAGACAAATGTAATCCACTGCGAGTTCAGCGGCTCAGATGTCGGGAGTAAATGACAACTGCTATGTTCATTATTACATCCAAAAACAGAAGACCTCAATCGCTTAGGAGTCATCTGCCAACACACATTTCAGTTCAAACAACTTGAAAAAGTGCATGTAGCTATGACCCCTTTAATGTACTTTGGTAATAAAATCAATACTAACATTAAAAATAAAAAAAGTAACACTACCATACCAGTATCAGTATTAATAAGGCCTTTCGCACCGCAGGAACCATTTCATAGTACCAGAACTAATTGTGGAACTACCCACTTTTTGGCGTTTTCGCACCGCCGGAACTGGGTGCGATTTTAGTACAGGACTGCCTTTTTCGAGAACCAAATTAGCTCCTACTCCGAAGCAGGGTCTAACCAGCACAACTGGTACTAATCGTGACGTAAGTATACATTGATTGGCCGAACGCATATGAAAACGCCGTTCTGGAACTAAAGCGGTGCGAAAGGCCCTATTGAGGGTAGACTCGATTTAGTACCCAAGTGCTGTCTGACTGACAGGTGGTGCTAAAAAATTTTTTTTATTATTTGTTCTGAATAAGAACTATTTCTTGATTTCCAACACTAGTCATTAATAAGAATGCTGTTAATATTATTAGATGTACTGATTTTGTTTACTAAAGAAATACTTGACATGTCATTGTTTTTATTTAAATTTAAGATATATTTTATGTATCATTTAAATTATGTTCCAGAGCATACATTGCTGTGTTATCAAAATCGGTATAGACCACATATTTTTTAGTGGGAAAACACGAAAAGTTAGTTTTTGCATTTTTTGAACTTGGTTAGACATAACACCTCATAACCTTGATAAAATACAAATAATCATATGTTCTGAGATTGCACCTCTTTGAGTATGTTTTGTTCTCATTGAGAATTTATTTAATTTTTTTAGGTTCAAAATTTTACCCAGCCCAAAATAACAGCATGACTCAACAAGCACTAACCAAAACTCAACTTCAAGTCTTAAAACACACCCTGCCTCGTAATCTCGACAAGAGGTCCAGCAGGGGCCTGGAGCGAATCGCATTGGCACAAACAGTGGCCTGCTAATCGAGTGGAAACAGACTACAAACAGCCCTCTGTCAGAGAGGAGGCTAGGGGGAAGAGGAGTAAGAGAAGGGAGCAAGACCAGTGTGCAAGTTTTCATTCCCTGGTGCCATTCCAGAACTGTTACAAAGACTGTTCTTTTCTTCTGCCCTTTTAAGTACAGAACAACAACTTCAGAACACCCATCTGAAAGGTTTTGAATGAAGATACGGAAGTACTCACTGTGCATTTGTTGAATCCCTAAAGATCTTACCACTGATTCAAACATTAATTACAAATTCTTGATAGGAAAGAAGCTTGACAGATGAAAAACTGTTAAAGAAAAATCATAATCTGTTGTAACTGATATTAAAATAAACTCGATAGGGTTGCACAGTATATCTGTAGCATATCAGTTAATGTCCAAATAAGAGAGATTTTCTAAAATGTATCAATATCAGTCAATATTGGATACTCAATCATCTAATATTAATCTCAAGCAATAATTAAATAACTGATCTTTAGTAAGCCTCAAAAAAAATTATATTGCATATTATGATTTTTAGTTTTATTTTTACTTTAAGGAAAATAGATAGTAGATCATTTTAATATCAGTCATCCATCAGTTATTGGCCTTATCTTAAAAAGAATAATATGTCTTCTCGGTCCAGACTGCACCCAAGCCCCCACTCCCCCAGCACCGCCCCCCTTTTTTCTTTTTTACCCCTTTTTTCTTTCTTTCTTTTTTTAAATTAAATTTTACATAAAAAAAATAAACAGAATTAAAACACACTGACCGTTTTCTGCGCAGTATCCTTCTTTGTCTCTTCTTGCTTTTTCTTTTTCTTTTCTTCCATCAAATGGTTCTCTCCTTGTGATGTTCAGCTTCTCTTAGCTAGAAGACAGACATGGGTGAAACGTTAATAACTGACAGGATGGAAGACCCATCCCATGAGACCATACAAGAGCTTAAAATGAAATCAAAGACCTGTGGACTATAGTATCTGCAAAATTTGGACAATGAAAGAATAGATAGATACAAATAGTTTCCAAATCCAACTTTATCACTAACTCATTTAAATTATGACGTGGGAGGAGGGTGAATGATTAATCAAACCTTTATTTAATGTATCTGGAGACTGGTAATGATTTCTGAGACCCAACCTGAGGCCAATTTGAGGGCACCAGTTTCTACGGTAAGTCTTGTTAAGTTCAACAGTGACCCAAATCCCATACAAAATCATCCCAAAGGCCTTGGTAAAACTCTGACCGTGCATTGATTTGACAAATTGATCATGCTAAAGGGGTTCAACCACATTTTGTCAGTGCCAGTGGGTATTTTGAATTCACTCATCTCACTCATGCACGGTTTAAGCAGCATGAACAAGCCAAGTGGACAGATGATCCTCATCTTTCCAAATGTAAGACTGTGCGCAATATATCACACCCCAAATCCAAATGCATTTTCCACCCAACAACACACAATGATATCTCATTCCACTGACAATGCAAACATAAAAGTCAGTCACTAAAAATACCAAAAAATACAAGTCACCAAAAATAATGGGGAAGGTGTACTGTTGTGTTGCCAGTTTGTAAAGGAAAAGCTGTCAATCAATGAAACTGCAAGTGACAACAATGCATTGCACTTAGAAACAACACACTGGCAGAGAGAGCCATGGTATGGCTGGACAAATGCTTAGAGTTGCCAATCAGCTGTCCTGATTTACCCTCTGGCTCAAACCCCTCCCATTGGCTAGTAAACTTATCCCCAATTTTGCTGTCCAATCAGAACACAGGCGTTTGAGCGATTGCCATTCACATTGCCTCTTGACAGAGGTCCAGAGCAAGAAGATAGGAAGCCGCAGTGGATCATGTTGAAATTACCCGGAGCATTTTGTGGAGGGGGACACTGAATGGCTTTATAAATATCCCACACCCTTTGTGTGCTGGAATTTTCCAAAGCCTACCAGTTCAGCCGTTTATAAAATATAACCATCTGCTCCAGACACTTGAGCTGATTCAGTCCCATTAGGACTTATGTAAACATACTGTGTTCTTTGATTCTTATCCATTTGTTTTCAGTGGCACAGATTATAATTTATTCCAGGTTTTACTTGCTCAACCTTTCAAATAAATGTAAAAATACATTGTCAGTGATGTGTTCAGACTCAATTTCATATTAATATTTTTCATATTTTGCCATTCGTCAATATTTATTAATATAAATATTTTTGAGGTTTAGAAGCCCCCCCCCAATCAGAGTAACCACATCATTACACAGTCTAGCATTAATTCTACAGTAAATTATCAAGCCAAGCTTTTCACTAAAAGGACGCAGAGATATTTAATAGTTTACCATTTATATGACCCTAACAACACAGTGGCAAGATTCAGTTTGTGAACCCTTTCAAAATATCTGGATTTCTGCTTTGATTACTCATAAAATGTGGTCTGATCTTAATTTAACTTACAATTATAGACAAATACAAACTGACTTAACTAATGATACACAAACAATTGTACTTTTCACATTTTATTGCAGTGCAGGGTGAAGAACGTCAATGAACCGTTGACTTTAGTGACTTGTAGATCCTCCTTTAGCAGCGAAACCTCAACCAAATATTTTCTGTAGTTGCTTACATGACTTTTGACCAATATTGAAACCATCCCTCCCAACAAATCGGTTTTAGTTTATTAATATTTCTGAGCGGTCATGTTAGCACAGCCCTCTCTAGGTTATGCCACAGCATCTGCATTGGGTTAAGGTCAGGGAAACACATATTTTCCCTTTTTTTCAGGCATTCTTTAGTTGATTTACTTGTGTGGTTTGGGACCTCCGTGAAGTTGGTCCCCCACCCAATGCAAAACGTCGCCAAAATAGTCTCAAACATTTGTGCTCATTTTGTGCCGTAAAAATTTCCGTTTGTGCTGCTTTGTTTTTTATATATATTAAAATAATGTTTATGAGGTCACTCAGTCACCCCAAATAGTCTTGTTTGTTTGTGCTTCATTTGTGCTGGTTTGTGCCTGTAAAAGTTTCGTTTGTGCTGCTTCGGTTTTTCAAATATTAGACATCGAATTATAGGCGATGACGTCATTTTTGTTTGAGCAAAGGCTGCAGGCTGCAAGGAAAAACCAAGCCGGGAAATGTTAAGGAGCTGGAACGAGACGTACAACCTCGCAAGTCAAGACAAAAACGATGGCGCAGGAGGGTTAAGCTAAGCTAACCCTATGTCACGTGTTACAATATTAACTAGTGGTTGAGGAGATTCCTCCCTTCTATGTAAAGCGCTTTGAGTGCCCAGAAAAGCCCTATATAAATGTAATGAATTATTATTATTATTATTAATATATTTCGTCTCATGTACTATCATGTGATAACTGTCATGTAGTCTATTCAATATATTAAAAAGCACTGTGAAGGTTATATTTTATGATCATAAATCCCTCACATGAAGTCTGCATGATACCTATATTATTTCTAACACAATACTAGTTGTGGGTAATGACTGATTATATACTGAACAAAATTATAAATGCAACACTTTTGTTTTTGCTCCCATTTTTCATGAGCTGAACTCAAAGATCTAAGACTTTTTCTATGTACAAAAAAAAGCCTATTTCTCTCAAATATTGTTTACAAATCTGTCTAAATCTGTGTTATGAGCACTTCTCCTTTGCCGAGATAATCCATCCACCTCACAGGTGTGGCATATCAAGATGCTGATTAGACAGCATGATTATTGCACAGGTGTGCCTTAGGCTGGCCACAATAAAAGGCCACTCTAAAATGTGCAGTTTTACTGTATTGGGGGGTCCGGGGGGGTCCGAAAACCAGTCAGTATCTGGGTGTGACCACCATTTGCCTCACGCAGTGCAACACATCTCATTCGCATAGAGTTGATCAGGTTGTTGAATGTGGCCTGTGGAATGTTGGTCCACTCCTCTTCAATGGCTGTGCGAAGTTGCTGGATATTGGCAGGAACTGGAACACGCTGCTGTATACGCCGATCCAGAGCATCCCAAACAAGCTCAATGGGTAACATGTCCGGTGAGTATGCTGGCCATGCAAGAACTGGGATGTTTTCAGCTTCCAGGAATTGTGTACAGATCCTTGCAACATGGGGCCATGCATTATCATGCTCCAACATGAGGTGATGGTCGTGGATGAATGGCACAACAATGGGCCTCAGGATCTCGTCACGGTATCTCTGTGCATTCAAAATGCCATCAATAAAATGCACCTGTGTTCGTTGTCCATAACATACGCCTGCCCATACCATAACCCCACCGCCACCATGGGCCACTCGATCCACAACGTTGACATCAGCAAACCGCTCACCCACACGACGCCATACACGCTGTCTGCCATCTGCCCTGTACAGTGAAAACCGGGATTCATCCGTGAAGAGAACACCTCTCCAAAGTGCCAGACGCCATCGAATGTGAGCATTTGCCCACTCAAGTCGGTTACGACGACGAACTGCAGTCAGGTCGAGACCCCGATGAGGACGACGAGCATGCAGATGAGCTTCCCTGAGACGGTTTCTGACAGTTTGTGCAGAAATTCTTTGGTTATGCAAACCGATTGTTGCAGCAGCTGTCCGGGTGGCTGGTCTCAGACGATCTTGGAGGTGAAGATGCTGGATGTGGAGGTCCTGTATAACTGATTAATTATAGTCTAAATAAAGAAATGTCTTTATGTGTGTGTGTGTGTGTGTGTGTGTGTGTGTGCGCGCGTGCTTGTGTGTGTGTGCGTGTGTGTATGTGTGCATGTGGGTGTTCTGTGTGAGTGTGTGGAGGAGGGTGCTTTCAACCTAGATATAGTTATTGCTGCAGGCTTTGGTAGCTATATATTGAAACGTCCCCTCTAGTTCACATGCCAGACACAAAGAGCATCCAAGGGGGGAATATTCAATTAGACACAACATCCACATCACAAATCCTGGTCTAATTTTAATCTCAGTTTCTGTGCTTTCATTTTCTACACATCAGAAGGCAAGTTTATCTCATGATTTATTGTCACCTGAACCCTGAGGATGAACTCTACAAATCGCAACTGCCTTTGTATGACATTTTTCTATTATTTGCAGTCAGGGTGGCTGAAATATACTGAACAAAATTATAAACGCAACACTTTTGTTTTTGCCCCCATTTTTCATGAGCTGAACTCAAAGATCTAAGACTTTTTCTATGTACACAAAAGGCCTATTTCTCTCAAATATTGTTCACAAATCTGTCTAAATCTGTGTTAGTGAGCACTTCTCCTTTGCCGAGATAATCCATCCACCTCACAGGTGTGGCATATCAAGATGCTGATTAGACAGCATGATTATTGCACAGGTGTGCCTTAGGCTGGCCACAATAAAAGGCCACTCTAAAATGTGCAGTTTTACTGTATTGGGGGGTCCGGGGGGGTCCGAAAACCAGTCAGTATCTGGTGTGACCACCATTTGCCTCACGCAGTGCAACACATCTCCTTCGCATAGAGTTGATCAGGTTGTTGATTGTGGCCTGTGGAATGTTGGTCCACTCCTCTTCAATGGCTGTGCGAAGTTGCTGGATATTGGCAGGAACTGGAACACGCTGTCGTATACGCCGATCCAGAGCATCCCAAACATGCTCAATGGGTGACATGTCCGGTGAGTATGCTGGCCATGCAAGAACTGGGATGTTTTCAGCTTCCAGGAATTGTGTACAGATCCTTGCAACATGGGGCCGTGCATTATCATGCTGCAACATGAGGTGATGGTCGTGGATGAATGGCACAACAATGGGCCTCAGGATCTCGTCACGGTATCTCTGTGCATTCAAAATGCCATCAATAAAATGCACCTGTGTTCGTTGTCCATAACATACGCCTGCCCATACCATAACCCCACCGCCACCATG